ATTTTTTATAGTAAAATTTATTTGTTCGTTGGTGTTTTTGAAAGCAACAGAAACTCACAATACGCAGAGATAACAAATGCAGTCCGACTGCCAACAAGATATCCAAATAAACCAGACCGTGTTAAAATATGTTTCCAAAATAGAGAAGCGTTGCTACGGGCCTGTTAACTATATTATGGTGTTGTATTTGTTTCAATGCACTAATGGTAATGATTTATGCAAACTTACCCTACAAAATAAAAAAAAGAGTCAAGGCTAAATCGACAAATGTGCATGGTTACCAATTTCATGTACATGCTTATTTAAGACCATTCTGCATTGCATGACAGCATAGAAATAACCTGAAATAAAATTGTAATTGGGGTTTGAGAGTAAATAGATTGATTTTTAATCGAAAACATTCAAAATACGCAAAATATTATGTAGATTGAGTTTTTTTTATGCAGACAAATGAACAGCTTTGAGATTTTAGAAAATAAATTATTGGTTTTGTGGTTTTGAAGGACAATCTTTTAAAATACTTTTAAAAAGAGAAAGGATCCTGACTTTATTAACATTTTTATGAGATTTTTTTCTGATTTATTTCAATTAATTGGAAAATAGCAAGATTTGAAAACTGATGAGAAGTGACGTCATAGATGCACAGCCTTGAGACCATACATGAATATTTCTCAACTGGTTGGATAATGAAAAGTGACCAATTAACAGAATTTAGTTATGCGCGGAAGAATGAAGAGCGTCCAGACTGATTGATTGTTAGTTGATTTTACGTCCATTACGAGATTTTATTTCACTTAAATTTGACGTCACCAGATGATGATGAAGGGCTTCAAAATTTGACCTTTACTCGACCACTTACGGCCATTGAGCATGCAGATAGGGTTCTTTAATGTGCCAACGCCAGCCATGACACGGGACCTCCATTTTTCAATCCCATCCCAAAGATCCATTATGATATTTTCCGAGCCTTTAGCGAAAGAACCGTTAGACCACAAAATTTGTCGAGGCCGCAACCATAACAATTAACTTTCCGCTGCAAAAGAAGCGCTTGCTAGCGCTCTACCGACTAATCTCCTGTTCATGCCTATCTGATACACTTTTAAAAAATTATTTGGATTATCCACAAATTGATTGAAATTCTGTAAATAATAACATTATTAGATCCAATGTATTAAATCTTAAACTCATCAAAAATATGAAAGAAAATATAAATTAATCGAATATAAATTTCAATTTTCATGTTTCGAGAGATAGATTTTATTTAAAGATTTTATGATAAACAGGATTAGCAATAAAAAAAAGAGTTAATCCTAAATTCAGGTATTGGACTTTGCAAAAGAAACTCACCTAAATCTGTTGTAGGAGTTGGTTCCGAGTAATTGAGGTCCAAGCGCAAGAAAAATAACATCAGATAAAGAATAACCATGATCAAGCTCAAGCTAATGCATCTATGTACATTTCCCTCTTTACGTATCTATATACACAGGTACCCCCAGCTGACTAATCATAGAACTTGATTGGCGGAAACACTTACATGTTAAAGGCAATAAGTATTAATGAATGAAATTACGTTACTCTTTCTATACTTTTCAGATCTGACACGTAATAATTACAAAACCGTGAGAAAACTCGGTAGTCAATATAATAGTTATTTTACTTGTAGGTAATTATACTGTTCATAATAGTACGTTACTTAATATATAACAAGTTAATCTTGTCAACTCAAATGTCGACGGCGACAGTGTGTACCTAACATCACTGTGCATATTGTCGTCCATCAGTACATGCTGCATGACAATGCATGGCAATGCTTCCATATAAATATGACTAATCATAATTTTGCTGTTTTTGAGATGAAGATTTTTAAAGAATTTTCCTAGATCTATGTAAAACTGATCCCGTATTGTGGCCCCAATCTAGCCCCAGGGGTCATGAATTTAAAATACATGTACTTGAAACTACACTAGCTGAGGATGCTTCCTTACAAACATCACTTTTCATGGGCCCACTGTTGTTCTCAGAGGTAGATCCAGAAATTTTAGAACGGGTGGGGCGGTTCAGAATTTTTTAACAAGCAACAAAAAATGTCATTTGTGAGAGAAGTTGAGTTACTGTATAAGTTAAGTAAAGTATTTAATTATGCAATTTTACCTCTGGACGAAATTGAGAGTATAAATAAGTCAAACAAACAGAATTTACAAAAGCCAAAAAAAAAAAAAAAAAAAAAAAAAAAAAAAAAAAAATCAAACGGGGCGTGGAGGGTTGGTGCGGGAGGGGTGCACCGGTTCTAGATCCACTTTGGTTCTTGAGGAGAATTTAAAAGATTTTCTGTATATATTCCTATGTAAAACTTAAATCACTCATTGTGGCCCCAACCTACCCCAGAAGGTCATGATTTAAACAAAATTTATTTTGTTTATGTTTGTTTGTTTGTTATTTAGTGTCCCTTTCGAGAAATTTGTACTCTTATGGAGATGCCACCACTTGCCGGTTGTGGGCTGCAAATTTTGACCTTAGAATCAGCACTTAGGGCAATTGAGCATTGAGGGGTCTTTTTCGTGCCAGCACCTACAAAATTGAACTGTGTTATGAAGCTTTCACATAAGTATCATCTCTTCAGTCCCAGTAGTTCTTGAGAAGAAGATTGTTTTTTCTATATATTCTATGAAAAACTTTGATCACCTATTGTAGCCCCACCCTTCCCCCGAGGGACATGATCTGAATAAAACAAAATCTACGAGGGCTGTTCGAAATTATTGAGACAAATACTCTTACTCCACAAAGGACAGAGATAAATTCATAAGAATTCGTCAACGTTTTTTAAAGAACAAATAAAACAAATGTACAAAATTTCTAATTTATAGGATAATTAATTAAGTTCCGGTGAAATTATAAACAAGCATATGTCTATTGACCTGGAGCATCATCGCTACGTCATTTTAACGTCAGGTCAGCCGATATATTCTCATTGTGAAATGACCAGGAAGCATTCAATCTACTTTCTCTGACATTACATATAACATTTCAAAAATCAAACTGTGTGTTATAATTCTTAATCGATTCTTTTAAAAAAAAAATAAAACCAGTGCTGTTGCTACCCCAGTGTAAAATATACACAAAGTGTCAAATACAGAATGACTTCGCATCATGCAGTACCGAGTTACGCAACGCGGGTCAACGTTATTTAGTCCGTAATAATTGATGGTCGTCCGAGGCTTTTATTTTTTTACTCTGGTTGAATTATTTGTAAGAAAATGATGTATACCAATGAAAAAATAAAACCCTAAGACATGTTTTATTGCATTGTTATTGTTTTAGCAGGTCGTTTAGTCTGGACAAGAGTTCTCAATACCGCTACACAAAATTTTAGGTATGATCGCTGCTCCGCCTTGACGTCAAAATCCGTTTTGTCGTCATTATCAGATTGCTATACCGCGCGTAAATTTTTTAATAATCTCCGTATTTCTGATCGAAATTCTAACAAACTTGCACAAAATAAAGTCAAAGTTAAATTGAAAAATTATATACATAATATGAATTATTTTTGCTCTTACTATGGGTCCACTGGGAGTTTTAACGTTGGCGTTACATATTTTCAATATCCGATTTCGTGACTGCGCCGGGTACCCCTACCATTGACACATTAATATTCCATTGAAAAGATGAAATAAAATATTTTAAAAATATTTCTTGTTTTTATTACTTCTTAGAGTTTGTCAAACGTATATGCAAATTTTCACCGAAAAACGTTCATTAGAAAGAAGAATATACACAATGTCTCAATAATTTCCGAACAGCCCTCGTACACTTTATAATGAGGCTTTCAAATAAGATTCAGCTTTTCTGGCACTGTGGTTTTTGAGAAAATTTTTGAAAGATTCAACTAAATTTCCACTAATTTTTAACTACTTCCTTTGAAAGGGGGCATGACCCTTCATTTAAACAAACTTGAATCCCCTTTATCCACGGATGCTTTGTGCAAGCTTGGTTGAAATTGAACAGTAGTTCTTGAGAAGATGCTGAAAATTTGAAAAGTTTGTAGACGGACGACAGACAAAATGTGATCAGAATTATAGCTCATTTGATCTAAGCTCAGGTGAGCTATGACATCAACCCAACAACAATTATATCGGAACATGTATAACAACAACGCAAAAAATAATTTCCAGTTAATCATTACTACTGAGCAAAAAAATAATAATATTCAATCTCCAAGTATATATAGCGAAAAAAAGAGAATAGGCTGATTTATCAGATATTTCAAGAATTATATCCTGCACACTATTTTCTGACCAAAACTTTTTCTCCCTACAGTATTGCGACCAATGCTCAATAAATGCAACTTGTATACTTATTTATCTGCCATAAAATTTGTCTCTTCTTCTGTTTGTCTGCCTCTCTTTCTGTCAGTCTCTCTCTTCTTTCTCTCTTCACGACCTTAGAAAATATGCTTCAACGCAATATATCAGCAGTCTCGTATAACGTCATCATTTCGTAAGTTCTATGGTCGATACAATGACCTAGTCAGCAAATACAATCAATCATTAAGTCATATGCTGACTGACTTTTTTTCATACTAATTGTTAGGACATTATTTACACACTGAATTGTCGACGGATTTTTCCGTTATTTCCCGATCATGACAAGGAGCACACGGCGAGTGTGACCGGTCAGCAGGGGATTCTCACTCCTCCATGGCACCCGATCCCACCTCTGATGTCTTAGAGGTCCGTGTTTGCTCTGCTCCTATTTTGTAATGTTTAATGGACTTTTTAGCTTGAATATTGTTTGTTATCTCAACATATTTCATTTGACCAAGATCAAACCTAATTACGACATATATATTTATTCTTAGACTGTAAATTGTCATCTTAATGAGACATGACACTCTGAATTTTATGGCTGATATAAAAAAAAGAAATAAGCTATTATTTTACCACAAAATCAAATTAGTTTCAATAACTTTACATCAAAAACAACAACAAAATTTAGTCCAAATTTCCTATGCATCACAATAAATTTTTGTTTTGTTCTTGCATATTTTTTCAAATAAGAAAATATCAAATTTTTAAACTGATATTGATTTAAAACATATTTAATGTGTCCATCAAAAACAATTTTTGAATTAACATCTTGTGCTTTATAGCATTCCATTTCTGTCATAAACGTCATCCTTAAGAGAATTCTTTAATTAAATTATCAAATATATTTTCCAATATATTATAATTTATATAAATCACAGAAAAATGTCATGGACTTTACACTGAAAATGACAAATACATGTACTTAAAAAGAGATTTCAACTGAGTATTAGTATTTTTGTAATGTTAAACAAAAAATCCTCTTGCGGTATGTATCTTGAAATTTATACAACTCAATGATATCAAAGTCATATATATGTATAATACTACCAGTCAATTGTTATAATTCATGCTAGTCACAAACTGAAATATATATACACATTCGAGTGACAATACTATACACACGACACATATAAACTGAATGGTGCGTAGATATCAGAGATATGTAGGAAACGTGAGAAATGTATCATTTAAGGTATTCAATGTAAAATCCAGGAATATTGAACAATTCCGCCCATTCATCCCAATAAAGTTCTCAGTAAATTATATCATACAGCTGTAAAACATCATTCTTATCGTCAGTTAGACTACATTCATTAATCACCATTGCAACCTTTGACCGATCTCGGTTTACAGATAGGTGGCTTGCATCTTTTAGTTTCAAAAGTGACGTAAAACTGTGATCTCTAAAATCTACAAAACTTACTCCAGAGTAAGATGATACAAGAATTCCGGATTTTAAAAGTGCCATCCCTTCTATTAATGGATCTTGAATCTTAATTTTCCATTTTGTTTTGGCGTCGCTGAAGGCATTGGTACACTTGATTTGGTCGTTGCCAAAATTCAAAACTCTGTAAAAAAGATCCAGAGTTGTTGGATCTACGGCCATAGAACGTTCGGCGGGTATACTTAGTTTTCGAAGTTCAGAGTATTGTTCATTATAAATACGAATGCTTTCAGAACCATTACTTTCTTTCCATGTGACAAAAAGGTACTCATCACTTGAAGTTAAACCAAAACATTTTGAGTCTGGATTTGTAACCACCGCATTTAGAACAGGGGAAAGGTTATGTGACCTAAAAAAGTTAACTCTGTGTTCTTTTGGGGATGCAACAGCAATATCACCTGTTGGGGCTTGTGTGACGTCATAGGGTTTAGAATCAAGTATTCTTTGCCAGCGCAGAACTTTCATGTCATCATAAATCTTCAGTTTAAGGTTTGCCTTATCAGTGATCACAATATTCCCGTTCGCCAGAAAAGTAATCCCTGATATCTCAACTGGTTCGTTTTCATCCATACGTCTAGGATTGATGTTTGACAGAAATTTTAGCTTTTTTGGAGGTCCGCTTGGAGCTTTTCGAAAATTTTTTAAGACGGCTGGTCCCTCACATTGCTTTACAATACTCTGTTGAAAGGGTTGATCATAAGTCTCACGGCCCATAGACAGATCTTTGTAAGGTCCAAGGAAATTTTGACCTGATGTGTTATCACAGCCAAAACCCTGCTGTGGAGAGGGCATAGGAGGATAAACCCCGCCATAGTTAACAGGTGAAGGTGTTGGAATAGCAGCATCATGAGGCTGGATGCTTGTATTGGACATAAAAGGAGAGTTGAATCCTACTGTTCCAACTTTGTCTTGTCTTTGAATTATTTCCTCGTAAGAAGGAGGGCTAACTGGATCAGACTGCAATGGGGCCGTGGGCTGCCTAGGCAAACTTTGTTCAAAATCCTTCATTGATATCTGCTCTTTCTCTGAAACCTGGTCATCTTTCATTAAATTACATAATAAAATCCTACCAACATTTTCATGCTGGGAAATAACCTCATCAAAAGTTTCGGAAATTTGGAACTTAAGAAGATAGGATGGAGTCTCTCTTCTAAGAAAATCTTCTGCTATTTTACTGAGAACTGTAAACTGTGGATCTCTTTCCTTGGCAGTTAGCTTAGATATTAAACAAGATCTCAGTATCTCATTTGTAGTATTTTCGACTTCTTGTACATCTGATTTGACGTTCATAGAGCTCCTTAACTTCTCTATTAACCCTTGTAGCTGAGTCGTCTGCTTGTGAAAACCATTTTCGATGTCCTGTAGGGAACGTTGTTCTAACTTGTCTATTTTCTCTTTATACGTCCGACATGTTTCTTTTACGAGGTTGTCAGCTGTCTGTTTTTCCTCACCTAGCATGTTCAGCTGACAGTCTAGCAATTCACAGACTCTGGAGACAGCAGACACAAAGCTCTGGAGAGGAATCTGTGGTTCGACTTTCTGACAGGTTGAGTGTTCCACGATGTTACACCCTGAACAGATTTGTGTCTTGTGTGTTACACAATCTTGATCAAGAGGCATCTTGTGAATAGAACAGATTCCATTTTCACTACCATCTGCCATCTACAAATCAAAAATAAATGACAAGAATAGTAAACATAGATAACCGATGGAAGTGTTAACATTTGAATTTTTAATGCAAATACTGAAAACATCCCTTCGTAGAGTCCTTTGGGCAGGGGATACTTTTTCTCATATAAATGTCCACTTGATACTTTTCATTAAAATGTATTATCAGTCATTTGTCTGTTTATATATTTTTGTAAACATTACCGAGACTTTTCGCAATTAGTTTCATTACAATTGGGTTGAATAAAGCGTTTCTAATGCGACATGCAAAACATGCGACATTATACATAAATTTATATTTCTTGTAAATGTATGTTTGCGAAAAATTGCCGATAAAATTATTAATACATGTACATTAAAACCCAAAATACATACAAAAAATTCAAATCTAAAGATAAAAGTATTCGATCTCTGTTCAAGGCAAACCTTTTTTTCAAATATAATTTCTAAGGCATATTCATTTGTGAAATTAAGGGCTACGAAATGAACGAAAATTCTCAATGCAGGACATTCAAGAACTACGTTAATATCAATTTCCGTCGCAGAGTTTTCGTTCGTTCCCCTCTATCTAGAGAGTCTATTTAAAACGTTTGTATGTATAATCTAGGTCACCTACACTTTTGCCGCATCGGTAGTCTCACATCAAACGTCGTTTGAGTGGGGGTCAAATGACTTTTGTGATCTAGGCTACTGTATGCATGAAACGAAAAATAACTCGCGATGTTTTCAAGATAAAGCAGTTGAAATAAACATTGATTTAGTTTTAAACACGAGGTTAAAGCTAAACAATATTCATAAATAGGCACCGTCACGCAGGTATGTAAACCCTTCGATTTCGTTACACCCGATTGCACACGTGAAACTCGTGGCCGACGTGTAGTATTCCTTTCGTTGTCTTAGATTTTGCGCGTTTATTCCTCGTTTTGATGTGCATTTTTTGTTTCCAAATAATGTATTGACTTGTATATTTGATGTTACTTTTCTCCTGGCAACTTCATCAATACATAAGTTCCACTGACACACGAAATACTTTAGTTTGCTAAAAAAAAAAAAAAAGAAAAAATAAACTTACCTTGTGTTATTCCTTCGAATCGAGTCTCTCAGTTACCTTTCATATCAAAAGAAAATGACCAAATTCTAACACATCTGTGATTTGAATAAATTATCCTTATAATTGGGTGTGTAAGCTGTAAGTCTCGTCACGTGACTCGCGAGATTTTTCGTTAATATTAACTTCCGGGTACATCACACATGGGGTTGTGTGTTGGACAATGCATATTTATGGTCTACACAAAGCTTACGAGGAAAAGGTAAGTAGCTGTACAAAGCCGAAGGATTCTCCGACTTTCGATGGATGAATTGCGTGCCATAAAAACTTGGGTGCAAGCGTTCACGAGAAAAATTTCGATCGAAGTACAGGTAAGCAAGTCAGAAAATGTCACCTATTTCTTGTGTTTTTGGGGGAAAAATGAAGTGCCATATTGGACATTTTCGGTTGGGTAAACTTCTACAGCTATAAGCGACCATGGAAAAATAGTGTGGAAACCATGTTGTGCAAAAATGAAATAACTCATACAAATAAAATGGATATAATCTAATCAACCAAATAGCTTAGTGAATACATTAGATACTGCATTTTAATGGCTCAAAACAAAAAGTAGTCCTTAAAAGTTTCATCATGTTATTATTTTAGCAAAAATCATATGATAATTTTCATACTACTAAATGGTATGATATGCTCTATATATGAACCACAGTATTTCTGATTAAGGACCTTCTGATTCGCTGCCAGTGGATGGAAGTCTGATCTGAATAAACACGAATTTAGGACAAATAAAACATTTTGACCGGATTTGAGCTACAGAGGCTTTTAAAACATTATCTCCCTGATCTGCCTCTTGCATAAATTCCCTTTGAAATCCTTTTAATTATTATTAAATGGCTCTTAGACTTCATATCGCGAGAACAATGAATCACAAGTGGACGGTTGATCAAGAGATTTTACATACAACAAATAAATAAAAGTGAGTAAATTTATTTTGCGACTGGTGCGTCTCGCGGAAATTCCTCTCAAATATTCAAATTTTGTCTCGTGTACAGAAACTTATCCGAGAATCAGATAGATTCTAATTCAAAACAGTGTCTTTGATTTCAATATGTGTAAGTAGAATGAAATTTTTAATTTTTTTAATAGACATGCAAGCTTCTTGTTCAATAAACATTGTAATCAGTGTATATATGTAACATTAGAGCTCTTGTAGGTTACTCAGAGTACGTATGTGTCTTTAAAATTTTCATATATATTACATGTATAAAATTTTTTTTGTATATTATCTCAATTTATTTATTATGACAATCATATTGTATTCATTGTTTGTATAACAAGGAGAGGATCTATTAAGTTGAAAGAACTGGTATCCAGTTCTTTTATATGTACTATACAATAAAATATGTTCAAATCAAATCAAATCTTGTATTTATAAGGAACATAAAGTATCATAGAGGAGCAACCTCAAAAACATAACAAAAACGAAAAGAATGATATCAAATATTGGAATATATGTTTATAGGTATAGGTGTGGTAAGCTAGGAATTCGTGTATTTTTGATATATTATCGTGTCTAATAAAAATTCTCAGAAGTGGGATGGGGGGAGAGGGTTGCACCTCCATTCGTCAGGTGTCTGTGGTCTTCTTCTGAACTGACACCTAATATCTTCACAACTTTTGAACTTAGTTGTTTTGCAGTGGAGGCAAATGCGAGACGTTTATCAACTGTTATCTGCAATGGGTGCTATATATTGAACTTATTTTGAAATTTATAATAGAAACCCAGAATAGAGCATCAGGAACTGTATTGTTTTGGTAATACACATTATTACACTATCCACTCACATTATTTCACTAATCACGCAAACATTATCGTACGGTTGATAATTCGGGGATCGAGGATTTCTAGAATGAGGTACAATTTCAGGGCTTGAAGAAAGAAATTGAAGCGTACTAGAAAAATGAAATAAGCTACAGAATACTTCATTTTTCTTATGACTGGATTATTGTTCAAAGATGACTATCGCTTTTGCTTGAATTTTTGACTGAATGTCCTTTACATGGTCTCTAAGAATAAAGTACATGGATATTGTTTTAGGTATCCAATACATACAAACTAACGCAACTGCTCAGCTCTCATAATGTCAGTGTTTTCATTGGGTCACCTCGAAATTTATCCCTCAAGCACTCAATGAAAAATGAATAATATTCAGTGGGGATTAAAGTGGTGCCACCGCCTCCTCTCTATTGAGCTACAGAGGCTTTTAAAACATTATCAAATAGAGATATTTGTCAAATCTAAGATGAATCATTGTTTTACCTCTTAAAAAAGAAATGAATTTTTGAAAAAATGGGTATAAATAAAAGCTTTATTTCTGTATTATGCCAAGACAGAGCCTCGTGGACTTGATTGTTATGTTCTTTTCCCATAGACCTTAAACTAATAATAGTCTTGTTAGTTCTTATCATGAATTATGACAGGAAATAGAAAAAAAATCTTCTAAGAAGACTTCAGTTTTGCTCTACCAGATCTCTAGAATTGTGGTATAAAACGCAGTGTATAAAAATTATGCAATGTTTAACTAATGTCAAATCGGACGATTTTTTTAGTCAGCGGTTACGAGCTTAACTCTCCTATCGAGTATCCGGTTACTCGGATGATTTTTTTTATTACACCATTCACCATTCTTGCTAGTGGTGAATTTTCAATATTCAATTCACTTTATAGATTTAAAATCTGCATTTCTTTTAAAATATTTCCAGGCTTACGTTGCCTGGACAGCATCTTGGTAAACCTAAGTATTAATAAGGTAATGCTAGTAATTAATACGTCTTTAAAATTTCTATACCATTTGGCATTCAAAATTATTCATTAGATAAATGAAAAGTGAAAATTAATTAAAAAAAATCGTTCGTATTTATTTCGTGAATATATCGAGACTAACGTAAATGAATTTGATGGCATTTAACGATAAATTACACAATTTTTTCTCTTCCAAAATTCAAACATTTTGTTTAAAAAGGTGCCCCTCTTACTAAAGAAGTGATTTCTGTGTAGTTTAAAACTTATATATTTGACCAAGATACATAAAAGTGAAAAAAAAATACAGTCCAGTATAATATTTGAAAAGTTTTAAAAAATTATGAAGTTTTGTGACTGCAAAGTTTCAGGGAATATTTTTAGGAGTCTATTTTTACATTTCGATAAAATGACCTTGACGGCAAATACAATCTATCGGTAAGTCATATGCTGACAGACGTTTTTCATTCTAATTGTTAGGCCATTATTTACACACTGAATTGTCGACGGATTTTTCCGTTATTTCCCTATCATGACAAGGAGCACACGGCGGGTGTGACCGGTCGGCAAGGGACGCTTACTCCTCCATGGCACCTGATCCCACCTCTGATGTTTTAGAGATCCATGTTTGCTCTGCTCCTAATTTGTATTAGTTGAATGGACTTTTGAGCTTGAATACTGCAGATTTCATTTGCAAGAAATACTGAAAAAATAACAATGTAACTCTTCTGTGTTGGAAATAAGAAAATTTGTTTGTGTGTTTAAGTATACATTTAAATACAACAACATTCTTTTTCTACTTTATATTTAATCAGTATAATGTCTATATATCTGACAATCAGGTAGCAGTTTTACTACCCGATAACCGGTCGACGGTAAAGAAATTAACCAGGTTCTCAGTGACAACGTTATTTTTTTTTATTTTCTAATGCGCTCCATTCTGAAGATCCATAGTCGCTATTTTGTAAATGTTCACCCAACCGAAAATGTCTATTATACCTGAGTGAAATAGTTTTGTAATCATCATTCCAATTAATTTGTTAACAGATTTGTCTTGAATCAGAGGATAATGATGTTATAACCAGCTGATTAAGGAAGGGTTTTGTCAGTATCCGATGATTACAAACTTTTGTTTAGGTAAATAATGTGTTCAGAATACATTTCATTTTTCAGTAGAATATGAGCTGTTGTTTGTCCGTGGATCTTGTTCATATAATTAATTAAATGTTTGAAGCATTTGTTTCCCAACGATAAGATTTTCTTCAAATATTCTGCTATTGAGCTCTGCATTTATCATTGAACAAACTTCAAATGACTGCACTAATATGGCCTTATTCCTCATTTTATACAGCATGTTCTCTTTTTAAAGAGCATGATAAATAGGAGATTTTGGTTAAAGTTTCAGTCTGTTTGACATATTATTTCATCTTACACAATTGTATACATTAAGATTTATTTTATAGGTAGAGTACAAGAGAACTGCAGCATCTAAGACAACATCGACTTTGAATAATCTGTATCCTCAAAAAGGCAACTCAAATACAGGTATGAAACTGATGTCACAAAATAAGTTCTTGGACTTACATTTACTCTTATAATACATACATAGCATATCAAAAATAGATAAAATTATTATAATAGATAATGGGATTTTCCATTGCCCCATGTAGGGCCGAATTTAGACCCTATTCCCAATTGCATACCCCCCCCCCCCCCCAATGAACTGTGTGTTATGGTCGGAATTGGAAATCGAAGGAATTACAAAAGTTCAGGGAAATCTTGTTCTATTGATGACTGAAAATTTGTTAACTTGTCTTTTTTGTGATTAAAATTTCTGAATAATTAAATAAAAGCTCAGATTTATTCATCATATTGAAGTGTTCATTTCTTGAAAATTCTCATGGTAGATAATTTCCCAATTAGTGATGAAATGTTGTCAAATTTCCAATTCCAAGGTCCTAGGCCTCATTCCAAAATGTAGTAGAAAAATCCCTTGTACATCAGGTTACAGCTCAATCATGTATTGAATGTTAATAACTCTGAGCTCCCAAATGCCAAAAGGGTATGCAAAACCAGTCAAAGTGATTTGTCCACTGGTGCTTAACTTTTCCTCCAATGGTTTTAGACATTTACCCATTATTCATCTCTATTGTATTCCGGCATTTCTTGACTTTTTCATAATAGATTACACAACATTGTCTCATAAATAGATTTAAGATTTTTCTTTTCTTTATAATGAAAATAATGTTTAGCGTAAAAGAACAAATTTTATTAGGATTCTCATGTCAAAATATTGATAAAATTTAATGACGGGTCAGATTTGTATCAAGTGAATAAATATTTGCCAGACTTATAACTTGTTATTTGGAAGGCACCTAAATTAGTTGTGCGTACATCTGTGTCAAAAGTCTAATGTCATATTACAGAATCTTGCTTAAATACAGATATATGTCTGCGAATCTGGCAATCTTGGGACATTAATCGATAGGTTTGTTTAAGAAGATTAAAAAGTTAACACACACTTCCAGCATGAAGCCCAGCCAGTAGCCTCACCTGTCCTGACATTGTTAGAGGTAAGTTGGCATTTCAGCAAAGGATCTGGCAATACAAAGGCTTGCTCATCAATTAAAGATTTCTATATACTAATTGGTAATTTATTTGAATTTCTCTAGATTTAAGAATTTAATGATATGAATTATAAAAACAAAAAGAAATATTTTGATCAAAATTATTTTTGTTTCAGTACTGTGTGGGAGTGAAAAGATATCATTTAAAACACGGATATGGCTCTAAAATACTGCATCGGAGATGAATCCAGGTTATAAATCTGAGACAAAACAATAAAGCTTCATTTGGAGCTATCGCCGGTATATGGCTGAAATAGTGCCGATTCGGCGTAAAACATTAATCAATCAATCAATCAATCAATCATTTGGAGCTACATATGAAAACTTCAGTCGCACTCATCACTACCTGCGTAGAATAGAAAACTTCATATGACTTTTGAATCGGTCCTTCATCTGGCTTGGAATTTCGGTAGTTTTAGCATCCTTCAAACAATATTTCTTGAAGTACCAATTTGCAGGTGTAAAATGTTTGAAACAATTTTCCTGTCCCAAATGAAACAACGAAGTAAATTATCTGCCAATTAGCAGTGTCATGATGAGTTTATTGATGTCACAATTCTACCGGCATAGTATTTGAAGTTGAATAGTACCATTTTAAAGAAAAACCTTTCAAAAAACTTCGAAAACATCAGATGGAAAGGAGCGTCTACAAGAAAAACAGTGAACACTTTCTTGAATATATATTAACAGTTACATAACATGCCCATATACATCCTTTATATAAAGTAATTAACAACCAAATCATAGAGAATTATATACATATTTGCCCTTATGTGCTTTATAGTGTATTAAATTATTTTACTAATTTATAAACATTTATGTTTTTCACAGTCATGAACATTTACAAAATAATAGAAGTACATATAACATAAAAAATATTAAATATTTATATGGAAACAAGTGAAATTGTTATTCCACAAAAACCATAATAGACCGAGGCGAAAACCTCGGTCAGCAATGGTTTTCAAGGGATAACAATTTCACTTCATCCAAAATAAACATTAATATTTTCCTTGTTAAACTGAATGTATTTGTAAAAAAAAACATCAGGGTGAAACGAACGCGCAAACATTCTGCGCAGTTAACGATTTTATTACATGTATAATCGCCCGAGTGGTGCAGTGGTTAGAGCGTCTGCTTTAGAGTCGCGGAGTAAGGAGTTGATCCTTCATCGCGAGTTCGAATCCCATTGAGGAACATGGAGACCGGTCCTTCAAAGAGACCGTATAAACCGAGTTCCCGTGTCGCAGTAGGTGCTGACACGAAAAAGATCCCTCACACCTCAGTGGCTCTGAGTGCCAATTTGTCAAAATTTACAGCTCTCCACCGGAAAGTGGTGGTGTTTTTCCATATGAGTGAAAAATTCTCGAGAGGGACGTTAAACAACAAACATATATGCATACATATTACATGTATATACTGTTACCTGTTGTTATTTATTTTCAAACCATAGGGATAGAATGTTTGGCATGCAGTGGGGTAATAGTACTTGTTAACAAATGTTTTTAAACCAATCAAATCTGACTATTCAACTTGAAAGTATATGACAAAATAATTTAATTTTGGTCGTAAAGCGTCATTTAATTGGATAAAAAAAATTAGACTATATCGTATAACCTCCTACGTCACAATTACTTACGTCAAAAAACGTATCAATCCGCTTAACGTTACCTTTAAAATACGTACAATTTGAATGCATTTTTGAAGGAGAAATTGTCTTATTTTCTACACTTAATGATGGAAAATTAAATTATAAGGAATGGATTTAATAGCTACCCAAGTTATAATGGTATAAACTGGGTTGGAACAGTTTACGCTTTTTTTATAAACGTAAACTGCCCCAACCCATGTTATACCAGTATAACTTGTGTAGCTATTACATTCATTCCTTAATCAAACTAACATTATGGTGCTGTGAGTAACCATGAGTTGTGAACTTGATCCTGAATTATTATGTTTTGAATATTGTAAAAGAAATGTGCAGCCAAAACTTTGACCTGTACGTTATTTAGATGGAGTTTCATTTTTAATTTCTTGGAAGTTGTCATACTCTTCCTGAGTATAATAACTATGGGATCTGCCTCATTGCAGATACATGGATAACACATTCACTCAAAGCACTCTCACTTTTTCAGTACTTTGTGTAGCCCTGTAATATATATAATGTACATGAAAGAAATGCCTCCTTCTTTGTAAAAATAAAAAAAAAATATTTTTTTGATTGTGTGACAATTTTCATTTCTGGATAGACAGAGTAGACTACAGAATGAACTGATCTATTTAATTTATTGTTGTATTTATTTAAGTGCTTAACTATAAATAATCCTGACTCGTATTGTTTCAATAGACTTTTGATCTTAAAAACTATTCGTTGTCTCCATATTTCATATAATATATTTTTTCTTTTATTAATATTCATTCATAGTTATGTATGATTTAAATTTATGATTTAAATAATGTCGGGTTATAAAAATGTTTTTCAACACTGTACTTCAAGGTCAAAGCTCATAACTTAATATGTTCTATTTCTTTTTCAAGAAATGAAGAAAATAGCACGTTTTAACAGCAAAATAGAATGATAAAAATGCAGCTCACATCGCTTTAATTTCTTATCGTATATCTCATATATTTGAAAATATACATTTATTTAACATTACCATGTTTGTGACAAAATGAAGTATATGACATATTGACCGGTCGAAAACCTAAAAAAGGTGATTGATCGATTGATTGTATGATGTTTTACGTCCCCTTCGAGAATTTTTCATTCATTTAGAAACGCCACCATATAACAGAGAAGGGCTTCAAATTTAGACGTTTACTCGACACTCAGGGACATTGAGCAGTGAGGGTTTGTGACGGTACATATTGTCGTTTTGTACATATTGTCGTCTGCGACAGTATGTACCTACTTCACAGCACATTTTGTCGTCCATCGGTACATGTCGCATGACAAAGCATGGCAATGCTTCCACATAAATATGACTATATGTCACCGACTGAAAAGCTACACATGTACATATTGTCGCTGGCGACATTATGTGCTTAACCCTCACTGTACATATTATTGTTGCATAAAGATTTTTTTCGTGGTTTTTGGTAGTTTTGTGAATTTAATTGGTGTGTAAATCACACAGAAGTGTCTCGTTTGCAATTTCATGCAGCGTGATTGTGACGGTATATTTTGTCGTCCTGTTCATATTGTCGCCGGCGACAATGTGAACTTACCCTCACTGCACATATTGTCGTCCATCAGTACATCGCATGACAATGTATGGCAATGCTTCCATATAAATATGACTAATCATGGCTTTGATGTTTTTGAGATGAAGTTTTTTTAAAGTATTTTCCTAAACTTAATATGAAAAACTTTGATCGCCCATTGTGGCCCTAACGTAGCCCCAGGTGTTATGATTTGAAGATACATGTACTTGAATCTACACTAGCTTAGGATGCTTCCTCATAAACATCACTTTTCACGGGCCTTCTGCTGTTCTCAGTGGAGGTTCCAGAAATTTTTGAACGGGTGGGGGTGGTTCAGAATTTTTTGACAGGCAACAAAAAATGTCATTTGTGAGTGAAGGTGATTTACTGTATATGATAAATAAAGTATTCAATTATGCAATTTTACCTCTGGACGAAATTGAGTGTATATAAAACTTAAACAAACAGAATTTATAAAAGCCAAACAAGAAAGAAAATCAAACGGGGGGGGGGGGGGTTCTTGGGAAGAATTTTAAAAGATTTTCAGTATATATTCCTATGTAAAACTTTGATCTCTCATTGCGGCCCCACCCTACTTCTGAAGGTCATTATTTGAACAAAATTGATTTTGTTTTTGCTAGTTTCTTTGTTGTTTAACGTCCCTTTTGAGAAATTTTTACTCATATGGAGACGCCACCACTTGCCAGTGGAGGGCTTCAAATTTAGACCTATACTCGGCACTCAGGCCCATTGAGCAGTGAGGGGTCTTCGTGCCAGCACCTACAAAATTGAACTATATTATGAAGCTTTCACATAAGTATCATCTCTTCAGATCCAGTAGTTCTTGAAAAGAAGATTTTGAAAGAATTTTTCCTATATTTTCTATGAAAAACTTTGATCACCTATTGTAGCCCTACCCTTCCTCCCGAGGGACATAACTGAATAAAACTGAATCTACACTTTATAATGAAGCTTTCACATAATTTTCAACTTTTCTGACACTTTGGATCTTGAGAAATTTTTTTAAAAGTTTCAACTAACTAAAGGGGGCATGACCTTTCATTTTAACAAACTTGAATACCCTTTATCACGGATGCTTTGTGCAAGTTTGGTTGAAATTGACCAGTAGTTCTTGAGAACATGCTAAAATGTGAAAAGTTTATAGACGGACGACAGACAAAATGTGATCAGAAAAGCTCACTTGAACTCTCAGCTCAGGTGAGCTAAAATGTCAATCCCAACACCAATTATATCGATACATGTATAAGAATAACGCAAAAAATAATTTCCAGATAATCATTACTACTGAACAAAAAAACCTTAATATTCAATCTCCAAGTATATATAACGAGAAATAAGAATAGGCTGATTTATCATATATCTCAAGAATTATATCCTGCACACAATGTTCTTACCAAAACCTTTTCTCCCTACAGTATTGCGAACATTGCTATATAAATGCAACTTGTTTACTTACTTATGTGCCATAAAATCTGTCTCTTCTTCTGTCTGTCTGCTCTCTCTCTCTCTCTCTCTCTCTCTCTCTCTCTCTCTCTCTCTCTCTTCACGACCATAGAAAATATGCTTCAACACAATATATCGGTGACAAAATGTGCAAATGTTCACAGTATATATTGTCGCCGACGACAAAATGTGCCAATGCGTGACTGTATATTTCGTTCTCCATTATGCAGGAGAAACGAAAGGCTAGTCTCGGTACAATTTGTCGCCGGCGAAAATATGTCGACAATATGTACCGATGGACGACAATATGTGAAGGTATGTACATATTGTCACCGACGACAATATGTACAGAACCACAATATGCACCATCACAAAGGTCTTCATATAAAAATCCGTTTTATTTTGCTGAAAAACCTGGGTCATTACAAAATTTGTTGGATTGTTTTTACGAATATTGTATAAAATGACTGTTAAAAATCAATGTTGACGAGGCAAAAATTATGATTTTTGGAAGAGGTCGCATAGCACAAAATTCATATTTTACATGTATAATTGTTAACATCTAGAAGTAGTTGCTAGCTTTAAATATTAAAGAACATATTTTTTCCCAGTCAGGATCTTTTCAATCAAAATATAAAAGAACATACAGAAAACAATTTAATTTTAATATTTTTTATGTATTGAGTGTTATCAACATATAAGCAACTCTTCTATCTATCTATCTTCTAAATATTTCTATGGATTTTCAGAAAGATATGTTTGACAGAATTGTTCAACCAGTTTTATTGAATGGCTGTGAAGTATGGGGATTTACAAAAATACTTTAATTGAAAAACTTTACTTTAAATATTGTAAATATATCTTATTTCTGAACAGTAAAAGAGATCGAAACAAGGGGAACAATTTATCCTGCGCCTGACTGTCTGTCAGTCTGTCACACCATATATCTTCAGAACTGTAAAAGGTATGGATTTGATATTTTGATTATGTATTGATCATGCATTGCTTGGCACAATGACTTTTGCAAAATGAGTATCAACCTCATTACCTTTCAACTTGATCTTTGACATACTATAGTACTGTACTTTTCAAAA